GATCCCGCAGCCAGAGCTCTCAGGGGGCAAACCTTCACCTCATGGCGTGGACTGTGGCTTCAGGGTGAGGTCCAGGCCCTCTGCCCTCTGTGGTCCGGGAAGAAGGCAGCAGATTCAGTGGAGTCCCAGCTTCCTTCCTCTAAGGGATCCTCACAAGGGAGCCCAAGGCCTGGAAGGTGCCGGGGAGCCCTGTGCGGGGGGGAGGCTACTGATGAACCCCTGGGCTCAGCCCCGCACTGGGGATCATGCCCGCAACCCGGGTCTGTGACCAGGAATGGAACTGTGAGCTCTTGGCTTGTAGGTAGGTCGACGCTCAACCCCCGACACAGGGGCTGGGCCCTGCAGTCCTGCCGGGAGCCGGTCCATCCTTGCTGTTTCAAGAGACCTGGCATATATGGCATACTGTTCTTAATATGTTTGGTCACCTTCTTGGCACTATGTGTTTTAACCAAGGTCACCTCTCCGAGAAAGGTTGTTTCCCCAGGTAGGGATTTCCCCGACTAGAACCTGGTGACTGAACCTGGCTGGAGAACCTAGCGAGGGAACATGGCTACAGAACCTGGCTGGAGATCCTGACAAGAGAACCCAACTATGCTGATGAACTGAACACTGCCTCTGTGCCATTCATTCCTTCTTCGCCGACTCCGTCCACACCTTTGGGGACCCCTGGACCCGCTGGGGCTGGACACCAGCACAGTCCTTTTGCTCTAAGTGCTGCCCCCACGGTGGCCTGGGGCCTCCCATGGCTCCCGCTCCCAGCTGCGTCCTGACTGGTGGGGATGCTGACCAGTGTCTGACCCTGCAGGGCGACTCTGAGGAGGAGAATGAGGGCGGAGGTCACCAGCCCTTTCCACCGCCCCCTTGAGAGCAGTGATGAGAGAATTGGGACCTAAAAAATAGCAAAAAATACAATAACATCCGCCCAGAAGCGGATGCACCCGGAGGGGGTTGGTCGGTGGCCACGGCAGGAAGAGCTGCAGTCGGGCCTGTGGGCTGAGCCCCTCCCCGACCTCAGAAGCTCCTGCTGGCCCAGAGCCCAGGTCCCCTGAGGACTTGTCCCCTTTCCTGTGGCTGTAGAAGGACTTCTTCCCACCTCTCCCTGCCCTGCCAGGCCCAGCCCAGCCACATGCTAACCCTTAGGGCCATTTCCTGGTTTCCTCCCCAAACCCAGCAGGGCCCCGCCCACACCACAGGCAGTTTCATTTCTCCTCCAGTCCCACCCAGGACTTGGGAAGGAGCTTTTGTTAGCTTAGGTGGCGCAGGAGGTGGTGTAGGAAATAAAGAGGGTCGAGTCTATCAGAAAAGGAAAGGTTTTATTCTGCGTCCCCGGGCGACCCACGATCCCCAAAGAGAGGGCTCCTGGATTCACGGCAACAGAGAGGGGGGCGCTTTTTCTATACTGCAGTTGGGTGAAGGGCAGGGACATGAACTGAGGCAGTTTAAGCCACAGGGGTAGGCAGGGTATTCAGGAAGGAGTCAGTATCTGTGTGGGGGTCGCTGTGGATTCAGGAAGAAGCCGGTGTCTGTGTCTGGGCCACTGATCTGTTAGAAATTCCAGGGAGGGGCCATTATCTCATCACAGGTCTGCAAGTATCTGATCCTGGGCTTGCTCTGATCTAACAGCTTTTCCAAGGGACTCCTTCCAGCGAGTGTGTGGCCTCAGTGTTTGCCCAGGTACTGGGGAGGGTGCGGGCGGGTCTCGCAGGGGAGGTGATAACACCTGGTGTGTGGACAGGAGGGGGTGCGGTGGGGGGCCCGGGCGGCAGGCAGGAGTGTGTTTCAGACACCAGGGGAGTGATGGCGAACCTATGACACGCGTGT